CGTATAAAATTCTTTTGACAAAAAAAAGAATTATTCGCATGGAACGATTGTTTCATACGAAGCAATCCGAGATTACGATAGAAGCCAGTAATGTCTATTCTTAGCGTGAGGTTTGAGCTCGCGAGAGGTGCGATATTTCCACACTTCACTTGTGTTACGTCTCTGTGCCGTCTGCGACCTTTTTGATCATAGAGTGTATTCTATAATCTCCACGCATGCGGCCAGCACTATGGTCCAGCGGCTTCGCACGCATTCGCCTCGCTATGTTGTCGGACTTCATTAAGAGGATCGTATAGCACTCCATCCGAAGAAGGTCGAAAAAGAGAGAACGACGAGGCGGCGCTCGCACGTTTCGTACGTGCAAACGCGCGCGAGGGCTAGAAGAGGGAACGGCAGAGGCTGCAGGAAGTTTACCGGGTGTTGTATATCTTGTCATTCAATATTTTAGCACGTCGGAGGTATTACGCGCAATATTATGTTAACCGGAAAGCTGGCTCGCTCTTCGCGAGTTCCTATTACGCGAAATTATTGCTGCACCAAGCGAACAGAATTTATGGCTTTTTTTATTATTAAAATTTATTTAATTTAGAAATCGGCGGTTCTCGCCTGGAATTTCGATGAATATACGTGGATTATTTTATACCTTAACGTATAGAGTCTGGAGTATCGTTTCTTTCTCATTTACCACGTGTCGATGAAGTTTACAGTAAATTTTCGGTGAATAATGGATCGCGCATTGTGTACGTTATACATCTATTGTTCTCGGATTCTGGGTGGTCAGAATTCTTCGGCGAGCTTGAGAAAAATTCTCGCGGACGCGTTACAGGCTTTTTCGTTCGAGCGACGATCGAACGAAACAACAGACCCGAGGTTGAAGTATTTACGGTCTCTTTGAAACAATGCTTACGCGCCGCGTACCATGTTCCTGACGTCGCTCCCTCAACTTTTTCTCGCTACGAGAAGGTGTACGACAGGAAGGGAAAAAAAAGGATGGTTTCCGGTTACCATTTGTGGAAAAATATCAACTTTCAACAAGCTTTACCAGCGATATTCGTCGCATTAGCATTATTATAATCGCACACTGAGAAAAAAATCTGGTTGCATTAATTAGAATTCTGGTAGATTCAACCAGTATGTCTGTTGGAAAATGGACGAACCAGAATTCTTGTAGGAATTACCAGATGAATCGGATTAATTTCTTCCTGTTAAATTTACTGGTTAATAATAATAAACTCACCAGCATCAAGTCGTCTAAAATTTTTTCCATCTAATCTCAAAAGTCTGTTTAATATTCTGAATTCCAACACGATTATTGCATAAATTCAATCCAGATTATTGAATAAATTATTTTAAGTTCAGTTTGTTAGAAATTAAACTGATAAACAGTGACGCAAGAAGAGAATGCAGCTCAAACACACAAAATCAGAGACTTAGCGTCCTTTTTCTGGCACTACTGCTAAGAGAAAAAAAAATACTTTGGATTTAATGTTAATACTAGTTCTTTATATACATTTCATGGCAAATATTGAATAGGAATTAAGTTAAGAAGCAAGGAAAGAAATTAATGTAACAAGAAATTTTATAGGAAATACTAATCAAATCCTTATAGTAAAATCTATTAAATGTTCTAGTTATAAAAAATTGAGTCTTATCATGATAACTAGAAATTCTTGTTTGATTTAACCAAAATGCCTTCAATCATATACGTCTTGTTGGTGCAATCAAACGATTTTTCTCAGTGCAATATATATCTGGCACTTGGAATAGATCCCACGCGAATAGTTAAGAATGTCGTCATCGAGAAAATTATTGACGTATTTTTTCAAATGAATATTCAATGCACTCGTTGCGAAAGTAACGAGGTTTTTCGGTATCGTTCCATTTCTACGCGTAAGGATGTGGAAAATGCCGGCGAAGCGGCAATAAGGTAAGGCCGCTGGCGGATGGAGCGCCTGGGGAAGAACCAGAAGGCCATTACCTGGTGTACCAACCATTCAACCGACCAAGCCCATTACCATTTATCCTGGCAGCCGCGTGCCGGAATCGGAATTCGTACTTTTGCGGGTCGAGCGTATCACGAGCGAATTTATAATAACAAGGATCTCCTTGTTGCGTAGCCCGTAATCGGCATCCTAGATTGCGGAGGATGCCGATCGTTCGTTGACTGGTTTGGAGATGAATCCTCTCCGGTGAAAGCTGACGGACGGATGGAGTCGGAAATGTCTGTCCGTCTTAATTAACCTCGGAGTCGCGAACCGCAAAAGAGAGAGAGTTCGAGAGTTCTAGCCAAACGACGGCGCGCGATTTGATCGGAAATTTCGAAACTAAATGTCACACGATCTTTTCGTGTAAAATTCAGAATAACATTATGCATACATATTTATATAAACTTTCAAAGAGGTGAAATGCAAGAAATCTCTACGCGAGAATTTTATTTGAAATTCATCAATAATATACTTCCCGATCCGTGGACTGCGATAATTAATCATTAGCTTTTTTCAAGCCCGTAACGTTTTATCTCGAGATCGAGAGAAACGGCACGATCGACCGTGACGATCGTCGAGCGTAGCGCTTCCATTTCCAGGACAGGGGCTTCGAATCGCGTCTAATCATTCCGTAAAATTGATAAACGGTACACCGTGATCTATGGTCGCGCGCGATAGCAGGTCACGTCTGGCCGGCAAAGAGCACGATGGCGACCGAGGCGGATCGGCGCTAGATAATTAGCAATGGGATCCGTTGCTGGGCGGCGATTTCTTACCGCGCTTTTTCCTCCTAGCGGAATTATTCGGCTTGCGATGCGGATAATCGCTGCTCTCCCTCCGATCGTTCGATCTTCGAGAGCGGGCAATATTATCGGCAGACACGCCATGAGAAGTAAGAAGGGAAAGGAGAAAGAGAGAGAGAGAGGGAGAAAGGTAGAGAGACTGGGAAGAAAGGATCGGCGAAGAAAGCCGACGAGCGGAATTTATTATGGGGATCGTATGTCCCGCAAGAGCAGCCGTGAAAGTGCACCGCGCCTGCAACCGAGAAAACTGCATCGCGCGGTTCTCTCCTTTACGATTCCACCGCCACTCGACATTCCGGCTCTCTGCTACGCGCATATGATTAGTTAGCGGTAGATCATAGCCGCGTATGAATTATCGGCTAATCGCGCGCCACCACCGGCGAATATCTCTCTTTCTTTCTCGAACGACTTTTACGAGACAAGTCTTGGCGAGTGAAACGGCAATGCGCGAAAGAACGCGGGATTCTCTCTCTCTCTCTCTCTCCCCCTCTGTCACTGTCTCTGTCTCTCTCTTCGTAAGATTCGCGTTCCCGCAATGCAATTACGAAATTACAACCTCGCCGCGAAATGCTTTTGGCCTCTCGAATCGCTCCTGCTCCGCGAAATATTCTATTCGTTTGAAGAGCGAATAACTAATTTGCGGCATTAATTAGTTTGAACTCGAGCGATCGCGACAAAAATGCTTTGATAGAAAGCAGGAAAGAATAAAAAGTCTCTTGGGTTTTTTCAAGCTATGTTGAATATTCGAAAAAAGAAGACCGATACCGTTATATTAAAACGGCGATCTTACGTAATATCCAAGTTCGAACGTCATTCCGCGATTTACTCCGACATCACGAACGACACGCTTCTTGCAACTTCTTTCCTATCCGTCGATACGCCTTTACTTATCCTTGCATAGCTATTGCCGCTCATCAACGACGTTTCCGCGAGTGCATCCGCAAAAAATTCAGGCGCGATAGATCAGGTGGAATTTACTATCGCAATTATCGTTTGATCATTTCGCGTTGGATTGTCAACGTTCAACTGCATATCGAAGGTTTTTTTTCATTTATCTCGAAATATTCTCTATCCTTCAAAAATGGAATTCTAAAATCTTTGGACATTCCTTCAACATATTTTTTTATAACATGAATTTTATGTACGACAAATCAATTTCGAGCCAAAGAATCTTAATGAAGATACAGTTGTAATAAAAACAACATATTTAATTTTAATTAAATTTTGCATACAACTCTCTCAGTGATTCATTATTAAATATTGCACGATATGCCTTTTTGCCTTTATCGTTTGCGTTTATTGCTCAAAAGATAATAGTTACTTGTGCTCTGTCACTAATTATAATATTTTTCTGTTTTAGGTAAGTTTCTACATACTTGGGTATTTTTGCTTGGCTTAATAAACGTTGTGCACTCTCGAGAATGAGGTAAGTGCAGTTGCAAATGCGAGATTCAATTAAAGCGCGCGCGGTTGCAAAAGTACGCGAAATAATTTGTGTCAAGGCTTAGTTTATTTCGGATTATGCATGATGTAAGGTGACCGACTTTTGAAAGAAGAAAAACATTTCAAAAAAAAGTCTGTTATGTTTAACATATATCAAAATTATAGGATACGCAGAAATAAATTGATGAAAAAAGAAATGAGACAAAACTCAAGATATTCAAGATATTTAAGGCGAGACATATCTCAAGTAACGTTAATACCTTTACGAAAGTAAATAATAATACGATAAACAACAGCGGACCATGCACATGTATCAATGCGATGATCTAATCGACGTAATTAGAACACGCGCTGAGACTCGAGCCTAACGGACTCTAGCGAATTTATAAATAGGCTTTGTCAGTGACATTTAAGATTAAGAATGTTTGTCGAATGCGCCACTGTGTGGTTGCTAGGAATCATGAATTATGCATATTTTTGTAAATTACAATCAGGGCCGCACTCATTATGCGACACCTGCCTCAACCGCAGAAGCGATTTTCTAGCGCGCGCGATCGATTCCTGAAACGTCATTAAACGCGGCATTCCTTTCGAGCTCTAGTCACGTGCTCTGACACGAGGAAGCAGGTACACAATAGATAGAGAGGATCGATTCGACTGCTTTCGTTAGTTCCTTGGCCCACCGCTATGCGGCGTTTAAACTAATCCTCAACTCGTATTTAAGTTTATCCAAACAGTGTATATAAGGCGTGCGAAAGGAGCCAGGGGTATCGCTTCTCGGCTCTTTGAGCTAAGATCAAAAGTGTAGTATCTGTTCTTATCAGCTTAATATCTGATACAATCCCCATAGGGGATTCAGAATATTAAACTGCTTTTTGAAACCAGGCAGATTTGTGGAGCTTGCTCCGATTCTGCCACGGGTCGACCCGGCATTGCAGTAAAGCTGGGACCGGCCTAATAAATTATTCTAAAAATAAAAAATTTCTTTTCCAGAAAAATTACGCGAAGAAAAATTATTTTTCTCTAAGGTAACTTGTATTAGGCTATACATGTGTTTCTCGAGAGAAATTATTTTCTAAAATAATTTGTGTCGTATATGTAGTTCTCGAGAAAAATTATTTTCTAAAACCATTTGTATTAGGCTTATATATATGTTTTTCGAGAGAAATTATTTTCTAAAGTAATTTGTGCTAGCTTATATATTTCTCGAGAAAAATTACTTATTTTCTAAAACAGCTTGTGTTAGACTTATATATGTTTTTCGAGAAAAATTACGCGTTTTCTCTAGACCGACTTGGATTAAGCTATACATATGTTTTTCGAGAGAAATTATTTTCTAAAGAAACTTGTGTTAGTTTATATATTTCTCGGGAAAAATTATTTATTCTTTAAAACAACTTGTGTTAGACTTGTATGTTTTTCGAGAATAATTACGCGTTTCCTCTAGACCGACTTTTATTAGGCTACACATGTGTTTTTCGAGAGAAATTATTTTCTAAAATAACTTGTGTTATGTTATATATTTCTCGAGAAAAATTATTTATTCTTTAAAACAATTTGTGTTAAGATTTATATATATGTTTTTCGAAAAAATTATTTATTCTCTAAAACAACTTCTGTTACATATGCATATATCCCAATACAAGTTGTTTCAAGAGAATAAATAATTTCTCTGGAAAAAATATATATTTAAGTCTAACACAAATTGTTTTAGAGAAAAAGTAGAAATAATTAAAGATATAATTTTTATTTTTATAATAATTTATTAAACTAGTTTTAAATTTTACTGCAACGTCAAGTCGATTCATGACAGAGACGAAACAAGTTCCACAAATCCTTTTCAAAAATCAGTTTAATATTCTAAATATATACGTAGGTTTATTATATGTATCTCTGTCGAGTGCAGAAAAGATGCCCATCGTCTTCGATACTTTTCGGCACGTCGCCTTGCGGTCGCCATTGTACATCAATCAGGCATGCTTTTTCTCTGCATCTTTATTTTTGCAATCTCAACGGATCCGAAGTACATGATCGACACGAGCGCAAAAAGCGTCCCTTATATATACCGCAATCTCACTAAAAAAGAGACGTTTTCAACCGCTAAAACACACTTCCGAGCGATAAAACATTTTTATAGTTCAGCCTAGTTATTTTCACTCGCGAAAAATCGCAGAGTATATAAATTGGAAGATCTCAATGCCAAGCGATAAACTAAAAATTTTTTATTATAATTGTTTTATCTTTTTTGATCTCTAAATGTTATAAAATAATGCTAAATGTTTACAACTTGTACATTTCAAACAATTTAATAGCACAGAAATTTAATTTTTCTTTTTATTATTAATCAAGATGTAAATGCATTTTAAAAATATCTTCAATTATTTTCATCATCTATTAATTTTCTTAATATCTAATGATTGTAAAGGTGCATTTGCATGATCATAAATTTGCACTTTTATTTTTCCGATTTGATTTTTGAAAATAATGTTTACTAATATAATTATAATCGAGGTGTAGTAAGGAACATCTGTAAGTATTTAAACTTCATCACGCGCGTTATTATCATTGTAATCTCGACTCGACACGTGAATGCGCGTCGTCGTGATTGTCTCGCGAGCGGAACGAATTCAATATCGAGACCCTGTCCTTAATGATAATCGGTAACTATGAGGAATGATCCCCCGGGTACGACTCCATTACGGAAATTAATCGCTCCGCCGGAGCGAACGGTGCAAATCGTTTCAGTAATCAGTAATCACGGAGATGTGCAGCCGCTGCTCGTCCTCTCTTTACGAGGCCTTCGTTCCCTCTTCCCTCTTTCGTTTCTTCCCCTCGCCCCTCCTTTCCCGGCCCTCCTCCCTCCGGATACGAAGCGATTCTTCGCTCTCCCTTTCGTTCTCCCTTCGAGAGAGAATACGTGTAGATCAGTGCCTCCCAACCTTTTTGCACGCGAGATTTTCTTACGGGTGGTCTCCCTCGCGGAAGCGCATCTTGACACGTGACCCGCCACGTCGGATCATGTGCAAGCGCGATTTTTATCGTTGCTGACTTTTGACTTGTATAAATCTGAAATATGCTCCTCGGATCTGCTTAAATTTGCCCGTAATATTCCGCTGCTGTTGCTAATATAGGACAAGCAGCAACTGCTCCGATCGGAATAAATTTTTTTGAACATTGTTAAATTATTTAATTTAAAGCCGCAATGTTCTCTTCTCGAATTTCAATATTTGCAAATAATTTATTATATATTCAGTAATGAAACCGAAATAAAAACGGGGACAGAAAATTCATTAATGTCGTCGTGCAAAATAATTCGTTGGAGAAACGCTGCTAAATTTGTTCTCTGTTTGATTCGCGTTCTAACATTACAATCGTCGGCGATGCTTTAACGACACTCTAACGATGTTTTAACGCACCGTATTTCCGACCGTTCTCAGGGGAGGGAAATATCTATTACTCACGTTAATAGTCGGCTTCTCTTGAAATATTATGAGCGCGATTATTATGATGTATTCTATTCGCATATCGTTTTATCGGAACGCGGCACGCACGCCTGATGCATACAAGTGGGAATTTTACAGGTGATACGGAAATTAATTGGTTGGTTAATGAGTCGATAGTTCGTTACGAGGGGACATAATCGCGCGGCGCGACATAAAATTAATCGAACGGCGGTAAAAACGCGATCCAGCTGCGATGCACACCGAGACGGTAAATATGAAAAACGGGAGGTCGGGAGGGAAGGGAGAAAACGGGCGGGAAAAACGCGCGGAATGAGATTAACGAAGACCGCGAGAAGAAGGACGGGAAAAACATAACTAAGTTAAATCAAGTCGCAGGTTTAATTTAACGTTATATGACTCGCTATTCATTCCGTCTCCTATCCCGTCCCATCGATCGTCCATATTATGAGTCAAATGCTCGACTATCCTTTTTATAGATGATAAAGTTAAAATTATCCAGCGCTCATACATATATACAAGAATCCTCATAAACGTTATAGAATGCTTCATGACGTTCAACGATCATACGCGAGTATAATTTCTTTAGCTCTGTATCTTTCTTAATATTTTTAGCGAACTGCAATGTCAGGAAGCATACTTAATATTCAATGAAAACGCTAGTTGAGCGTAGATATTAATTAATTAATTATTATTTCTCATATAATCCCACTTAATTTATTCACAGTCAAGGTCGCGTATTCGAGGTTCGCGAACGCTAACGATTATTAGCACGCAAGATGAAATTTCTTGTCGTTTTATATCATACAACTTTTTGTTCCTGCTCTGTTTTTTTTTCATTTTCAAGCGTGATTGACCTCGTCCAGCTCAATGTACACTAATTAGTGCGTTCGCTGCGTCGCGATATTTTACTGTCCGGTACTTAATATCTCGTTTGCTAGTCATTCAGCAACGGCGGTGTATCTGGATCGCTCGTATCATCTTGAAAACATATTTTTGTGCATTGCACTTCCAGCAATTATGATGAAAAATTACATTATAATAACTTTTAATACGAGCTTATTAATCTCCTCTTGTAATATCTTTTCCCTTTTTATATGAGTACTTTCATACACACATACACATCTATGAATTGTGTTTAAAATTATCTTAAATATATTAAAAAAAATTATTTTACATTAATTAATTACAATAAAAAACTATTTAAAATAAAATGTACATTATTAAATATTGAAAACAAGTTTTCTGATACAATTTTGATAAACAAGACTTTAATGTATAATTTTTATTTATTTTTTTAAACAGAGCTGTGTGTTTTTCTCTCTAAATAATATCTATTTTAACAATGTACAAATTTATATCTCATTAAATTTCATTCTTGGTATTTACAAAAGTCGTCGTTTATTATATTTTTCGCGATTTCGTTCGCGCGCATCGATCTTGGCACGCAATCTTTTCTTTATTATTTAATTTACCGCTAATCAAATGTTCTTCAAGCGGAAAATAGAAGGCGCTGCCTGAAAACGAGAACGTTTATCCATCGCGTGGAAGGGCACTCTCTCGCGTGTTCGTGTTAACCCTTTAATTGATCGCCCGAGGCGAGCCCTGTCTGCCTGGCGGCTGCGAAAAGCCTCGATTCATTCTTGTTTTCTTTTACGATGCAAGTAGTAATTTCTGATTAAATAAAATTGTTTTTTTACGTAATACATATCACGTATGTTTGTATTTCAAAAAATATTCTCATATTATTGTCATACAATATTTTCACGATGACTTAAGAATTTAATTAATTTAATTAAGGTAATCGTAAAAATATAATTACCGATACTTGTGAGGTTTTTGCAAAATTCAGTAATATTCGCGATTTTTATCACGAAGCGGTTCTATCGTGCATTTGTCATCTTTAAATGTCGCTTTACGTCTTCGCTTGATGATACATTCCGTCAGTTTTCCTTGCGAAACTCAGCATGATACCGGCTTCAGGTTTTGCACGAGATATTCGTGATTTTCAAGCCAACTTTCTCGCGCGAAAATGGAGATGCGATTTCGCTTAAAGAGAAGTGCGTGAGTAAATTGTTCGTTCGGACAGCTATCGTCGACTGAAAGAGAAGAAAGTTTCCGATTGACTAAGTACGGCTATACGATTGAAGTCGGCCACCGAGATTGCGCGTTCTATGATCGGTGGTGAAGTCGCTTAGCGAGAGGTAAAAGAGTCGACAAGCCGACGAGTCTTCGCGCGAAGTGACAGGGTCCGCTGGACCGGAAAATTCTTCAACAACGAAGAATGTAGAATAGAGAACTTCAACATGCCGTGAACATTCCGCTTAATCTTTCGCGCGAATTGTCTCTCTTGTAATCGCTGACAAGCTGGCAAGATTGAGCAGACACTGCAAAGTCGATCGAGATTATTTGATAAAATTTAAAAATTTTTTATCGTAGAAAATTTAATTCATCTTCCTTTTTTCTCCTTTTATAAAAGCAAAAAGTGAAACAATTTTGTTT